TTATTACAACGCGGATTTTCAATTAACGGCGCGCAATTAATACGGTTTCATGCAACCAACTATTAACTGCTAATTATTGTAGATCAACGCGATATAGGTGTGCTTGGTAGAATTGATTATGAATATTTATCTTCCCGGTAAGATATTGCTTCGACGCTACTGGCGTCCGAGTCGCTTACACTGTCAGTTCAATCAGGATTTCAGCGATAAAAATATTAAAATATACCGCGTAATCGTTTCCATCGTCGGTAGCTAATATAATCTAACGTTAATGGATGCAACAAATTGCAGATCTGCTGACACCCTAAAAAACAAGGCGATTAAGCTTATGCTAATAGACAGATGTGGTAAATCTGATCGTAAAATTTCTCGTATCAGAGATCTTGCTGTCATTTCAATTTTACATTCAATAAACTTTGCAATTCAGGATATTCTAGAATCAGAATTGCGTCGTTGAATCATATAAGTGTCAACTAATAACGGGCTGAAACGTTTAAACCAACGTTAGCACTGTCTGTCCAAACTTTTCAGCTCCCACCGACGGATAACTAGCATTCTGAAATCCATCTTACGTGAAACAAACGGGCACATTCGATAAAATACGAATAAAAAATGAAATATTCGAAGAATAAATTGTCAGACGCTGACAGTTTTATGTGAAAATGTGCTAAATCTTTATGAAATCTTTGATTCTTCACCATCAAAAATGGCGATTCTAAATTCTCTAAAAGACTGAATGAAAGGTACAGAAAATCCCGTGTCCTCGCAAGGGTCCAGGTGGGAACCAGAATGCGTTCAAGGTCACAGTTTTCTGTTCCTTCCTTTTTTCCTTTTTCTGGGACCTCGGTGCCGTAGGTGGCTCGGTCGAGGGTCCCCATTTTACGGGTTCCTTTAGTTTACGACTGTTTTACGGCGTGCGAACGGCCGGCACGAGCTACGGGTCCCATAAATGTCAAATCTTGCCACCATTTACGAGCCGACAATCTTTAGTGAACCAGCCGGCTGCGATATCGCGCCGTTTATTTAATCGGACCGTTTCATCTGCCTCGTTCGATGGTTCTCGCGCTTCCGAGACATCCATTTACCTACAGCGCGACGGTTTGTTACCTGATTAGCGCCCATTAGTTTATCGCGAGTAACACGGACGCCGTGTTTTAAATAAACAGGTGCCGTTTATGAGCCTTCTGATGCTGTGAGATAGTTTTTCAATTTCATACTTAACTGGCCTGTGCGCTTTTATACGACACTGCAGTTGTTTCGCTTTAATAACTGCATACCATAATTTTTAGTCCTGATCATATTTCGTGTTTAAATTTCACTGTAAATATTGTGTAGTTAATATTAGACATTTTCTGTAAAATGCAAGTTATTATTTTGGAATATGAGGGTTAGCGCAGTGATAGAGCTTGGAATTTTGAAGCCAATGATATTTCTTTCAGCTGCATATGGCCATTAGTTTACGAAGTATTTCATGTTCACTGCCGAGGAACCTTCGAACACTCGTCGAGGATTCACTGTATTACATACTGTATGTATACACCATTGATTGATCGCAGAGTACGAAATAAAAACTGCCTTAATTTTGAATATGGTTAGAAATTTTCAAAATTTTAATAGTTAAAATTATAATTTATAGTTTATTGTTAATTAATAGTTTATTGTTAATTAATTTTGTTAATTTCTTAATTTTCTATTCACTTGTATTTTAAAACACTTTTCTGATTATTATAAAAGGTTATGTAATTGACAATATTACGAAGTTTATTTAATTATAATTAATTGGATTAACAAATAAGCTCTGTGGACTCTCCGAGAACAATAGTTTCATGAAACGGAGCATCAAAGTTTCCTTACGTTACAACAGCGAGCTAGATACGGCCGGTACAAGGGACAAAGAAATCCCCTGGCAGGAGCCATTTTGTTAACTAGAGGCCATCATAGCTGCCTGACGTCACTTCCATATCCAACTATGGCGTCACGTGACGCTCCACCCTGTTTTCAATCACCTTGGCCCCGAACCCACCCAACTGTCAGACACGCTCCACCCCGTTTTTTCCACTTCTTTCGGCTATCGCCCATCGCCATCTGTCGGCAATAACATGAACTTCTTAGACCTTTAAATGGCCAGTTAGTTTATGCCTTTTCCGATCGATGTCACCACCGCGGAAAGACCAACGCTCCGCACCTCGGAGGCCCCATGGTGAAACTGAAATCTACCCAAACGATGAAATCCTAAGGTAACGAGTTTCCACGATTCGCAAGGAAAAGAAAATCTCCATAATATAATTTTCCAAGCGTTTTCATCTACCGGAAACAGCGTTCTGTCAAGAATGAGGTCTACGGTGGGGAAAAACAGGCAAAAACGTTTTCATGCGAAAAACGATGAAACACGGACGTTCCTGATACCACCGAGGCATGACGTTTTACATTCGGTACTGTTTATTACACGGCTCGTCTAGCAGCAATCGCGTTTAATCGCACCAACAGGGAGGCTCTAAGCGCGGCGGCAAAAAAAAGAAGCAAAAAAGAAGAAAGAAGAAGTGGTAGGACGGAAGGAAGGGTTACGAGTTGCACCGATAGAGACGAGAAGGTGGCGTAAGCCTCTATCTCCATCGACGGAGAGAAAAGAACCGAATAAATAAGAGTGGAACATACGTATATACCAAGAGGGAGGGCGACAAGGCTGTATTCGGGTGGAAAAGAATACGGTAAAGGCGAGTCCGTAAAGCGGGAATTGAGTTAAAATCCTGCGAGAGGTAGAATTTATATACGCGTTCCGGGGCTGAGCAAGGGCGGAAGGAGGCCAGGGGTAGAGTATGGAGCGCATGGAATCGCTATCGGCGGCCATTCATCAATCCGGGGAATCAATACGCTGGAATTAATGAAAGCGCCGCGCGAACAGCGAGCTAGCGGCCGGAATGTTAATCGCGATCGTCCCGCGTCCGACCCATTCTCGTGTACAGCAAACTCCCAAGGGCCCCACCTCCACCCGAACCCTTCAACCTGCCACCCTGCCCCACACCCCCTCTCGATCCCTTGTACATCCGCCCCCGCGTCCCTTCCCACACTCTCTACCATCACCAACACGACCACCGTGCTGCCCACAATACCGTCGCACCCGTACATTCTATTCCCTCGTTCCGAACCCGTCTTTTTTTTGTTTACTTTTATCGCCGTCCACGGTGATAGGCGTTCCCCTATTTCTCGTGGAATTTTTTGTTTGCGAAAGGCTATGATATTAATACTTGCGTTACAATTGCGATAATTGAAATTGCGGATGAATTTAACAGTACGGTATATAGTCTTCGGTGCGAAAGAGACTTTAAGGATAAAAGTGGGATTTCGTGGGTCATTGTGCCAATCGGTGCTGAAGTCGAAGGATTGAAATGTAGAATATTTGGCTCCTCTACCGTTAAGGCTCTGGACAAGCCAAAATTATCAGAGGGTGAAATAGGACAGACACTACGGTGGTATAACATTTTTCATAGTGAATGAAGGGAAACTGGAGATTGATTGAAGTTTCTTCGAAATATCTTAAAGTCATCGCTACCTATAGGGGGACGGTTTCAGGGCCAATTTACTGGGCATTATCCCTTCCAACTGTCCTCTGTTCCGTTGAGTAGTATGAAACAATCGGTACACAGACGCGTGCTCCCCGATGCACTGCTACGTAAAGTCAGGCTGCTAACTTTTCAGACCATGTTGTCGTACGCAGCGCAGTCGGTATAGAAGGTACCCAGCTGCGATCGGTAGATCGGGTACGAAAGGTTCGATGCTGCCGGTAAGAGACCGACGCGACTTTAGGGTCTCAAGATTCACACAATGATGAATTTTTCCGTACATATTAAACACAGTATTTTATAACCATTATTAACGCTACGTATTTCGAATTGATCTATAGTTAAATCTCATAATAAAGATTACACTTTTCTGTTCTCTCTTTGACTCTAACGCAACTTACAAATTGTGCATACGTGTTCCTAGTACTTGCTTTGGTCAGAAGCAGGAGAGACAAATAGACTCGTGTGTTTCTAGTTACGCACTAACGAGACGCGCGGAACTCCCGGCGCTGGGTATAACGAAAAAAAAAAATTAGTAGGTCGGGGAGAATCCCGGCGAAGCGTTCAGTAGCCATGCTGCTGAATGGATGGGAATTTTTCCAAATTTAACGATCGTTTAGCCCGCCCACACAGAAGGCCTAAAGCAAGGTTCGGCGTCTGGGCGATGGCCGACACCGTGACGAGCACGTGTGTACCTCGCCTTCTGTCACTCACAGAGTCAAACTCGGTTCTGTTCATTCAGTTCGTCGGGCTAGGATCAGCAAAGGAGAACTTTTGCTGGTATCCGCGCGAAGCTTCGACGCTCCGACCCTCCGTGAACCGCATGGATACACCGAACGTTTGAAACACGAGATTGTTGCTTGATTTTTGTCGTTGAAATTATTATTGACCGTTGCGTCGTTAAACAAGTTGGTGACCAAAGTTGTGTTTCTCGTGTTCACAGGTGCGGCACAACTTCGTTAGCAGGGTGGACAGAGGAACGGAACGTGTCTGGAGCGGCTTGGCGCTTTGAACGAAGGTACCACACCGAAGAAGACGTAGAACACTGATTACCATCTTTCCCCCACCCCCCTCCCCCCCTCGTGTACAAGTTAAACCTCACCCATCCCCGCAAGCCAGAAGGCTTGATAACTCACGGTTCTGTAGTGCTCCAGTTTCTGGTTCTTTCTTTCTGATTCAGTGAGACCAGTGTGATAACAAGAGAATAGCAAAGAGAATTCAATGATACAATAGTGATTCGAGGTGATGGTGGTGTGATAAAGAGAAGAAAAAAAGTGTGTACGCGCGTGTCGCCCGAAAGTGTGTGAGAAGAGAGGAGTTGCGCGAAGAAGAAAAAACCGAAAGCCAAGGAGAATCAAGGAAGTGATATATTATATGTATAAATAGAATTTATATACATATATATATACATATTTAAGAAAAGACAGATATAGACAGAGACAAAGGAGAGAAGAAAACGGTTCGATTATCCGGAGACAGAGGACAACAGTAAGTAACCGACAAAAAAAACGGGCTACGGATCAAGGATTTAAAAAGAAAAAAACGGAGAGCACGCAACAAGACCGAGGTGGCACTAGCAGGTGGGACAGGTGGGACAGTAGCATGAGTTCGTACTTCGCGAATTCGTATATCCCGGACCTGCGTAATGGCGGGGTGGAACACCCGCATCAGCATCAGCAGCACTACGGTGCCGCCGTCCAGGTGCCCCAGCAAACGCAGTCGGGTCAGCAGCAGTCTCAGCAAGCCGGGGATCCATGCGATCCGAGTCTCCTACGGCAAGCAGTGCCTGGCCACCACTATGGAGCAACGGGCAGCCAGCAGGACATGCCTTATCCGAGGTTCCCGCCGTACAATCGGATGGACATGCGGAACGCGACCTATTATCAGCATCAGCAGGAGCACGGGAACATCGACGGCATGGGAGGTTACAGGTCGACGTCCCCGAGCCCCGGTATGGGGCACATGGGGCACACGCCGACCCCAAACGGACATCCGGCAACTCCTATTGTCTACGCGAGTTGCAAGCTTCAAGCGGCCGCGGTCGATCATCAGGGTAGCGTGCTCGATGGACCGGACAGCCCGCCGCTGGTCGAGCCCCAGATGCATCATCAGATGCACACGCAGCATCCTCACATGCAGCCGCAGCAGGCTCAGCATCAGCAGCCGCCGCAGCAGCAGCACCAACATCTACAGGCGCAGCAGCAGCACATGATGTACCAACAGCAACAGCAGCCACAAGCGGCGACGCAACAGACCCAAGCCGGCATGCATCCGCAGCAACAGCAGCAAGCACAGCAACACCAAGGGGTGGTCACGTCGCCGCTTAGTCAGCAACAACAGGGCGCTCCTCAAGGCGCGGCTAGTGCCAACCTGCCGAGTCCGCTTTATCCGTGGATGAGAAGTCAATTCGGTAAGCTTCGATGGAATCTCTCATCTTTTTGTTTTTTTTTTTTTTTAGATACGAAAAGATGTATGTGTCCCATTTTCGTCTAGGTGAAACTTAGCGAGGAATAGAATTCTTGAGGACCATTAGAAATCGACGGTTTCAAAAAGACCAATTGGAAATGATTATCGACACGAGCTAATAGGGCCATTTAGATGAGGCTATAACCGAAAACCGGTTTTCTCTTCCCACGGGGATTAATTTAATTGAATTCGAAACGAAGTAACCTAATATCTGTTATCTCCGTAAATGTTACCGGCGATATCACCAATCGCCGTTAAGTGAGTTATCAAAACAGAATATTTACATAAATTCAGAAGATATAGAAAGTAAAGCGGCGGTACAAGATGAGAGGAAGCAATCGAATGAATTTTCCATTAACATTCAGGTTCCACCCGGAAGATATCCAATTTGCATAGTAAAAAATCCTCGTATCATCGGGATAAGAAATATAAAAAAAGAAAAAAATGGGGAAGAGGAATTTTGTATTCGCGAGCATAGATACGTCGTGGGTACACGTGATGCGGTTCTCGAAAATAGGCTCAAGGCTTCCGCCGCGTGACCAAAAGGTTTCGGTAGAAAGCAAGGTTTCTCGAGAGGACGCCAGGTAGCCGGAGCCGCTTTCAGATTTATGCAACAGTAGGTAAAACTAGACCACATTTGTACGGTTCGCAAGCTAAGATTGGCATAATGTCTCCAGTTTCTAGGTATACCGACGTCCGGAGTTATTTATTGCCCTGACCTTTTAGCCCGGTAGTTTCACCACACGTACAACCGTGGTGTAGGCCCCCCCATAAAAGTTCTCTTGCTGGCCGAGTCCGCCGTTGGCTCCACACGTTGGCAGAGCCTCGGCTGCTCATCCACTTTTATTCCCATGATAACATGGTCGGTTGTTTCCGTTCGTTGTTAAACTAGTTCACTTGTTTTCACCTTCGCGTGTATCCAGAATTTCGTGGTACATACGTCATCTGTCGTCGTGTGAAAACAAATTTAATTCAAGGAGACCAGAGCGTCGATGGGTTACACTTCCAGCAAGTCGTTAAATCCTTTTGATTGTTATTAACTTGGACGCAACACTCAAGGACACTGGTAGGCCACCTGCTTCTTGAAATACGACGGGGTTATACGATGGAAAAGGTTCACCGAAATGTTCTCGAGAGGCCCGTCACTGTAAAGAATCGCGGAGGGGTAATTCTAGTGTAACGAGTTGGAAATTTATGACGGCAATAACGAAGTGATAATGGCCGTCCCCCCTTAACTCGGAGGTATCTGTCCCGGGTTAGGTAAGAGCACAGGTTTCAGCACCCCGCTGCGTTTGCTTTTATTTTCTTCCGCTTCCTCCTCGTGCCCCAAAGCCGAAGAAATAGCTGGAAAAGGTTAGATTCGATGTTGCGAACGTTTGGCGATCCTCTTGCGTTGGTACTACCCTTCAGTTGTACGATGAACTTCGAGGTGACAAGTGGTACTCGCGTCTCTAAATCGAAATAAAGTCACATACAAGTGTAGCCATATGTTTTGTTGACTCCGTAAAGTTGTGCATTCAAGAAACTGTGTATTTTCCACATAAGTTAATTTACAATATTTCTCTTTCGTAAATTTTTCGAACTAAAGCATGCGAGCCGTGTAACCAATAAGGTAGTCATTTAGAGAACGGGAATGATTCACCTTATATCTTGTTGCTTTTGTTTAAATAACGAGTTCTCTCAAGACCATCTCTCGGTCTGACTTGGAAGCTACAGCCAGGCTCCCTGATTCGTCGATAAAAGGTCTGGTTCGTACTTTCCTGCCAGTCAAAGGAAGAAAGAGGATCGAGTGCCTGAATCTGCTCACAGATGTCGGCACACTGAGGTCTTTTCTCGCATCATCAAACAACGTACGTGTATATCCCTGTGGTTGAGCCGAATGTATCGATTTTTCTCAGATTCATGACCCTCCATATAGAGATGTAAACTAAGAAAATTCCTTTTTTTTGTACCCAACGTTTTCAATCTTCTTAATACTCATATCTAATAGGGAATCTCCAGCAATTCAAGATCAATAAATTTCCTGATACAGTTTCTTGCCTCTAGGTCGTATAATTTACACCTTTGTATCTCTGCTAGAACAGCCGAAATAGGTGTAATCGAACCAACTATTCAGTTCCAGTTAACATCCACTCGACCTGTCGTCGATATTCGTTCGATTCTCGCGATTTCCTTGGACAATTCGCCGACGTGTTCACTCGTTTAGGAGTGTGTCTATACTGTCTATTAGTTCGCGGCTCGATCCCATTACCCTTACAGGGGCTACCAATCATGATAAACTTCATATCAATTTATCTGCCTATCCATTTCAGGCCGTGGTTGCCCCGCTTCTTTCCACGTTGCAAAACACCAGCTGAGCTAAGCGCGCTATAAGCAGGACTTCCCATGAATAATGCATGGCTCAATTTTATAGATGCAGGTGCTCCCCGGGGGCATTTGCCCGGTGAAACCCGCCGAGATTCCCTGGCACCTTTTGCGGGACATTTGCGTTACACAGGTTAGGAAATTCCGGCATAGTTGGCTTGGCCCGCGAAACGTCTCGGCATTTCGAGTGCGCATCGGTTGTGGTCGTTTACTGCCGTACGTCACGAAACGCTGCTCCTCGTGAACGTGAGCTGCCTCTAATGTCGTGAGACCTGCTCTGCCGGCTCCACGGATCCGCCATTATCGGCGCCGACGGTTTTGCGTTAAATGGCCACTTGTCCGGTCACGTGACATTTGTCGATTTGAGTTTTATGGGTTCGTTTGGTGTCTCTACTGGCAATCGAATTGTCACTGTATTTGTCGTCGGTGGAGTTTCTCGTCTAGTGTTCTTAACTGGTTCTTTAAAATTAGCTTTTAAGAACAATTCCAGTAATTATAAAAATAACGCTCGTTACGAGAATTGATAACCACCATCTGCGAACAGGAATCCATGCGAATCGCCTACACTTCTAACGGGAATATTCGCATTAGCACAATTTATATGTTCGTATCAAACACTATCAGTTGCACTATCGCGGAAGATTAATGTTTCCGGATACGAATCATGTCCCCGTGGAAAATAATTCAACGGAAAGAACACGATTCGAGTTTCGCGGATGCACCGACACTTACCTTTGTTGCATTTTTGTTCTCCGATGTAATTGTTCCTTGTCATTTGTATCTTGCGTTCACGATCGACACTAACACTCGGTTTCTTAGCATTCTTTGTTTTAATCGATCCGCCAAGCAGATTTATTTTTACTTCGGTATGAATGAATCCCGGAGACGCGTCTCCATCGCCAGTGAGCCTTCCAGAGCCGTGATCAAGCTAATTAGTTTGATAGAGGGAAGCGCCAAAATTATCTCTCACGCCGACGTAACTTGTAGCTTCGTCCAACGGTAATTACGAAGTAAAAAAGAAGAACCTCAAGACGAGGCATACGTTATCTCGCATGCGCATATCATCCGACGCGCATTATCGTAGGAAAAAGTGCAATATTTCTCGTAGCCAGGATGCATGAAACGCCATCGCGCATTAACATGAAAAGCAAAGCCCACGGTGAGCTAATAATTCAAACATGTTCGGACACCATGACGCGACGGTACAGAAAATTCTTCCTGATTCTAGATAGATAGACGTTGACGAGCCGAATCGTTCGCGATCTTTTCATTTTCGGGGAACGAAATTAAATTACATCGATTCCTAAGGATGCTCTCTCCTCCATGTGCTCGTTGATATCGAATCGTTCGATCCACAATCACGACCGGTAGGAAGAGAGAACCCATCGACACCGGCGATGCTTTTAATGTGCAAGATAATTGCGATCCTCTTGCCCGAAAAGATTTATGATATCGAGTTCCCCCAACCCGTCCTCTCTTCCCCTCCACTTCTCCGGCAAATAAGCATGCGCCGTTGCAGTTACATAGGTGTGAGGCTTCCGTTATTGCCGTACACGTGTACGTGCACCAGCGCCGCGGTTTCTTATGTGAATCCTGGGTGCACGAACACGAATCCTCGACGGATATATACGCTGAGAGAACGAACGCGGCAAAAACAGCGCGTTACCACTGAATTAATCGCGCGAATATCTACGTAAATGGCCAATAACCCGTGGCACGTAATGAGGAATTAAAGGTGGGCCTCCTCGCTGCTGCGCCCAGCCTGCTATACTTTCCTCCCCCTTCCCCCCCTTTTTTTCTTCGCCATACCTCGATTAATTGGGGGAACGGATTTATGGAGTGGATACCATTCGCTGGATGAACGAACTTCACGTGTCTTGTATCACGTGGGCGGGTTTATTTGCCAAAAAGAACTCGTTATTACCGTGGGCCTATCTGGATTTCGCTTCTGCAGGTTGGACTCATTTGTTCTGCTGGGCATCGAAACGACCGGCACTTCTCTCGTTATGAATTCCTATGGTTCTTCGTGTTGTAAGCTCCGTTTGGTGCTTAGTTGCTGAATACATTGACAACCCATTCAAAAGTTTATCAAAACTCTTAAGAACCGAGCTAGTATTACACCAAACTATGAACTTATACAGTCAATAGTGTATCAATCAGTAATAGCCATAGTATCAGTTACAATAGTAAAAGTTAGTAACAAGTCAGCAATTAGTATTTAGAATAATATACGTAAACTCTTTAATCCAATCGTGCGATCGCTGAAATGCATCCCGTTCGATACCTGGAACCTTCGTCTCCGGCCAAAAATGCCCAGATGCCATGCGGCGGACAGGAACAATTTTAACCCCACGGGCGAATTAGCCGGGGTCGCGGGGATCAAGATTCTCATCTCGAAATGCGTTTCGTTCTAGTCTGCATTGCCAGACACGAGATTGGTGTCCGTAACGATGGCGGCCTCGTGAGATATTCAAAAAGAGGATGGAGCCCAGAGGGCCAGGGAAAGGAGGAGCGTCGAGGAAACGGACGTGAGAGCGAACGAGAGAAACCGAAACTGTGCTCTGGGGGAGGAGGCGGAGG